CCTCCTGGCTCGCTCCCTCAAACTCCAGCAACGTCACTCCCTCCGGCACACCTATTGCATGAATGCGCAAGATAAATATCATGGATGCACATGAACGAATGTCAGGGATGCTCGGGGAATGTGCATGTTCGCTGTAGTTTGCATATTCCAACTTACGCCCTATTCAAATCACTTTACTTACCAAGTTTATACAACCTAATGTATAATTGCTCATCTTCAGTTAATGACCTAGCACCTGCACCTAAGCATATTCTCAAGTTAGGCTAACCCCTAAAAAAATCAACGATAACATTGCATCAAGCATACACTCCAGCATTTGTATTTCAGCAAAATGAAGACTATGTAGTGGTACAGTAAACTAGCCATAACTGGAGATTTATAAATCCAAATGACATGCAACAAGACAATTTGGAAAGCTCATGAAATTGTCTATAATTCATTTTTAGACCTCTAAGCATGATTCAACACTTTACCAAGTCGAATTCTTTGATCAACAGAACTCTGTCCTCACAAGACAGAGAGTAAGCAAAACAGGAACCTAACTTTAAACAGCTGTAGTTTCTAAACTACTAGGCCAAATGCCATCAACTTTTGACAGGAGCTAGATACATAAATTATCTACAACTCTTGTATTCACCACATTCACAGAAAACTAAAATATCATGGGGAATTTTCTAAAGTCACCAGATCTGTCCAGAGGGACAAAATGCAAACGAAATAATTAATAACTTATGATGTAAACACATAATTTGACAAAACTAACTCTACTCACATATCACTCATATCACAAGAGCACCAGAAAGTAGGACGTTCATCCCCAAAACATTTCTTTTAATACCTTTCTTAATTTATTTAATTAATTAGAGGAAATGGTAAACATATATGAAAACTACACCATTAAATCTACAAAAATTACAGTAGATACTACATGCTCTAAGTAGGCTACCATAAAAATTTCACACCATTTGAGCAAGTATAACAGCCTACACAAAAATGATAAGGCATAATGGCTTAAAATGGCATAATTAGAAAACCTTAGTGAAAAGTGTCAAGCAACAGATTTTATATTTTTCTTAGCATCCTTTGGGTACTAAGATACTACCCACCAAGTTTCATGGTCATAGGATTCCTAGATAATTTACAAAAATTCACCCAAGTATCAATCAGTGATAAAAGAAAAATCTATAACTCAAAAACCATACATGCAATGACTCTCAAATTTTGACCAGAGCTTCTACTAAGCAAGACTAGCTCACCCACAAAATTTCATAATTTTTGGATCACAGAAACTCAAGATATGATTTAAACAAGTTTGCATGCATTCAAAAACACATTTCAAGTTCCTATTTAATTCATCCAAAATTTCTATATCATGTGCTCAAGACATATTGTTTTTAAATAATAGACTTCACAGTGAGTCTAACAAAATTTGAATCACACCATTTGGATCTACACATTGGGAGTTACAAAATTCACAAACCAGCATCAAAATCTACATAAATGAGCTATACTATTTACAAACAGTCGCTGGTAAGCGGGGTCCACATGTCAGTGGGTCCGCTTGTCAGCGACATCGAACCAGAGCACGCTGCCAAGCGCGATGGCGACCGGCGAAGCTCACCGACGGCGGCTCCTCTGGCGAAACCGAAGGCACCGACATGGTCCCCACAACGATGTGCACCCATCGATACCCTCACCACCATCTCTACCGAACTCGAACACCGACGACGACGTGCAATGGCAGACGGCGGAGGAGTCCGGCGATGCTCCGGCAGCGTCCGGCCGAGTAGGGTGCGGCTAAGCTCGGTACGAGCTCCTAAGGCACGCGGGGAAACTTAAGGAAGCAAGAAACGAGGACGATATGGCTCCTAGCTACCCCGACCACGGCGGCCTCGAACTCCGATGAGGTCGCGCTCATGGCGGTGACGGCGGAAGTGGCCAATGTGCCCTTACCAAGACGCAATCGGCCCAGCTAAGAGGTGGAGGAGGTAGAGGAGGACACGACGGAGCTGTTTACGAGCTGTGGTTCGCGTTTTTGCGGCGGCAAGCGAGCTAGGCGACGGCGTGGCTTGCTCAGCAATGGCGGAGCGGCTGAGCTCTGTTGCTGCTCGCGGTGGAGGCGATGGAAATGAGAAAATGGACTGTGAACCGGTCGGGCAGGCGCGCGGGGGTGTTCACGTCGTGGCCAGCAGCGCTAGGATGGCCACGGCGCGTGGCCGTGCGGTCAGACGACCGACGACGGGTGGCGCCGCGCGTCGGGCGTTTTCTGAAAACGGTCGTCATTATAGCTTGCCTGAAACTCTGATTCAGTGATCCATCAACCGACTGACAGGCGAAGTTTGACAGTGATTAGCTCCTAATCCGTGATGATATAGCTCAAGGTGTAATTGACAAAGTTGAACATCTACGTGTGCACTACAACTTTTACAATTGGGGCTCGAGCTGGTTTGGCTTTGTTTGTAAACTACTGAGCTCTAAACTGGGGTACATGAAAACTGAAATTCAACTAAGACTTAGAAATATTTTCAAGTGTTGAATCAGCCTTCAATACTGACTTGTGGGTCCTTTTTGAACATGTTGTACACATTTTCATGACTTGGCTTCTAAACAAAGTTTGTTCCTTATAAAATTTGCTACACCTTTGCTTTAGGTTGCTCAGACATGCAAACATCCTAAGCTACACTTTTTAAACAGTCAAACAAAAGGATTTAGGGGTCGAAACAAGTCAAACCACTATTTGAAATCACAATTAGGCAACATGGTCAACATGAACAATGTTCCAAATAACATTCTAGGTGTAACTAAGTTACTTAAAAGAATTTTTTAGCCACACCATACATTGGTCACATCAAAATCAAGCATCACAGGCATTGAAACAAGGAAGAACAAGTGAAGTGTTACTTTTGTTTCAAAGCCATGTTTCATATGTTTCATGAGTGTGTTGCATAGTACTACTAACCATGTTTCACTAAAGTGAGTTACACATGTTGCACTTGAGTGTTGCACACTATTCATTTCATAAAACAAACACACATGGAATATAAACATATGTTGTAATGTTTCAAAAGCATGTTTCATACAATCTAAGCTCATGAATGGATGAATGATGCTCATGTTTATGAAATGCAAGTGCAAATGTGGAAGCCAAACACCTGGGGTGTTACACGTGCCGTGTGGTGATGTCACGTCGCGTGACGCCCAAGGTCATTCCCGATCCACGCCACAACCCCGTCGACCTAGAGCCCTACACCGTGGCACTCCGAGAATCCATGTTCGCCGCATATGTGCATGGTCATGTGATGCCCGGGCCGCCCTCTCGCCAAGCTCATCCTCGTCACGGCGTCGTGTCCTACCCCGCCTCATAGACAGCATGCTCCGACATCGCCGCCATCGCTGGACTGACAACCCCGTGGGTTCTCAGAGGGCATCGCTTCGTTTTTGCAAGGCAAAGGCGCGGGGAAGTTTTGTGTTTTTTAGAGAAATCGAGATTTAGAAAGTGGGGATCGTACCTAGGATCACACGCATGGGCAGCGCGGCGTGTGCGGGGGAAGGTGCGTTGAAGCCTCGAAGTGACTGCATCTGTTGGATCGTGGTGAAGCTACGGGGAAGGCCTATGAGCCATTGATTTTAGTTATGTTAGTTTGTTGGGTGCATAAACTCAAGGTACATAAAGGAAAATCCATCTCTGTGGAGGACACAAACATAGATGGATATAGGATTGTTTGCATTGTTCCAGACATAAGATAAGATATGAGCCTCACGTCACATCATCGGGGAGCTAGATGTTCAAAAACGCCTTGACAAGTAGTGTCCTCTAGGCAAGCTCGATGGACCACGTCAGCAGTCGTACCGAGGTCGTCCTAGCCTTCCGCAGTGTTGAGTGAAGCCAGATAAGAAATTGGGACTCACAGTTGAGAATCAGGCATCGCTCTTCACACCTTGTAGTGCTAAGCGTTCATAGGCATCGCTTTGGGACCCCAAAGCAAAGCTATAAAAAAATAGATACACATGTTCCTGCGTTGGCGTCCTGCACTACCGAGCAACGATGCACAAACGAAGATAATCGTTTTATATTATCTGAGCACCGGCGCCTGGTCTTGCCTCGCTCTCCATTTTTTGAGCATCGGTTGAACCTGGCATCGGGTGCTGTAGTATGCAAAGTGATGCTCCAATCTTCTCTCACCTTTTTTTTAGAACAATCTTATCTCACCTATTTGGGCATCACTCTTGGCTCACATTGCGGAGGGCCAAATTTAACCATGCTGTGTTGAGTGTTGACATGGACATGGTAGGAGTGAGCCGGAGTCCGGATCGAGAGTAGTGGCCGTGTGGTCATGCAGTGGGCGTCGCTTTGTTCTAGACGCTTGGCGCTGTGGCACATGCATATGATGTGCGCCAGGCCGGATCCTTCGCGTTTTGTCCATTCGGTGTTGACCAGCTCACCTACTCACCCACCACCAACCATGCATCCTCTCTAGATCAATTCACCGAATCGATAGAGAGAGCACATGCCATGGCATGTTGTCGCCTGTCGGTGGTGACCGTGGGCGCACATGAATCTGTAGAAGCTTGCATGATCTGAGTCGTAACGTACAGCACCTGCCATCTGGCATTGATCGAGATGCACACACGATCTATGATCGCACTCTGTAACTGTAGTGCCAGGCAAGATTTATGGATTCTGATGTTTATTCCTCAGTTTCTGGAATGAGATTTTACACGACGACTAACATACCCTCAAAAATGATTCTTCTTCTTTCATAAGTCACAGAACTACTACTACCAGCGATCTGCATCCAGATCCAGGACGCACGCTGCTGGGCTCCTTCTGAGTCAGACGACACGATGTGCGTACGTACAAAAGAATTACAAGAATATATAACCCAAGGAAAGAAAAGAATGAACTCCATCGAGAACACGTACAGGAATATGCCTAATATCTGCAGTAATGATCGGATCGGATGAGGCCGGCGAGACTTCGACAGCAGATGCATGGATCATCAGTTGCGGGCGCACTCGCCGGGGAACCCCTGCGGGAAGCGCCAGCCGTCGTCGCAGTAGTTGTACTGCAAGCAGTTCCGGCGCGCCCAAGCCACGGTGAGACGGTCCGTGTCGTCGGGCTGCCTGTCCATCCACTCGTTCCCACCGGCGGGGCACGACGTGCTGCGGCCGTCGCCGTTCCGGCCGTCGACGACGGCGCAGGCGTTGGCTGTGTAGGCTCGGTAGGAGACGACGAAGGGCGCGCCGGACCAGTCGATGGGCACCTTACCCTTCTCGGTGGCCCAGTAGCTGCCGTCCCACAGCGTGGCGTGCACCGCCATGGGCTTGGCATCAGGGTACGGCAGGTCGTCGTAGCGCTTGAACACGCGCACCGTCACGTCGTCCACCTGGAAGATGATGTTCTTGTCGTTCCAGATGATCTTGTACTTGTGGAAGTCGGCGGCCGGGTCGAACCACAGGTAGAACTGGTGCTCCTTCTTGCCATCGCCGCTGGCCCACACGTTAGTGTTGAGCACCGTCGGGGAGCCGCTGGAGTTGCCCATGAACTCCATGTCGATCTCGTCGTGCTCGTCGCCCTCGCCGGACGTCAGCTGCACATGCACAGCTATAGTCACCACTGCTGGAATGTAATAATAAAACGTACAGATGTTGAACGGAATGGTGGCGGCGTACGTAGAAGGATGTGACAGTGCCGGCGGAGTTGCCGGCGACGAGCTTCATCTCGACGATGAACTCGCCGAAGAGGTACTTGCGCGTGGAGTTGAAGCCAGCGCCAGAACGCCGGTCGAGGACGAGCGACGCCACCTGCCGGCCGGAACGGTCGTAGTCTTTGCGGACGTCACCGTCCGTGGTGAACTCGTCGAGCCAGAACTCCGCGGAGGCAGACCGGACGACGAGGCAGAGGACGGCGACCGCGAGCGACGGTGCGACCAGAGCAGCCGGAGTCGACGTCGGCCGCGCCATAGCTGTACGTTGATGGTGTGTGTTGCTACTTGCTAGTGCTCGATCGATCGGCTGGCCTGGGTCGGCTTCTTAGAAATGATGATGAGCTTGTTCAGACACCAGCGCTGGGCCGTCCGTGCGGTTGATCTGGTGCAGCCAAGCACGGGATTTGTAGTGTGGCAGCGTCCTCTGGTCCCTCTGGTGGTGGCGCACCGGACGCCGCACAAGTTGCGTTTTCCATGAGTGCTGTGCGGCGCATTTGCTTACTCTTGTCGGGTTGCCGCCAAATCTCTCTCGGTTCACAACCGTCGGTGCGGGGATTGGATTTGGGTGATTAAATTACGAATAGTCTGCCTGGTCGGGAAAATTGTTCTATGGAATTGGATTTGCGCAGTTTCAGACTCAAGGAAAACGGTATCAAATGTTCGATCACTCATTTCGTTAGTCACTGACACTACGGCTAGATTATACTCCCTCTAATCCCTTTATATTTGTCATGGTGAAAAACGTGTGGGTCAAACTTTATCAACTTTAACTAGATTTATATACAATATTAGCAATATTTGTATCTTCAAATAAATTTATTATAAAAATAGGTTCAACGATTTATCTAATGATATTAATTATGTACCGTAAATATGAATATTTTCTCGTAGATATTTGGTCAAAGTTGAATTCGTTTGATTTTTCATAAAGCGAAAATGACACAAAAAAAAAGACACGGGGAAGTAAGATACATTATTATAATAAAATCCAGCCTTGATGTAAACAAGGCCAAAACTGAGATTCTCTGGCCTTTGCATGACAATACAGTAAATTTAAAAAAAAAGGGAGTACATAACTGGTTGATGTGATGGTACTGTGGTTCTTGCTCCGATTCGATGGGTCCGAGGAGCAATTTGACCATACTTGCAACTTGTTGTGGACTGAAGCTAAAATTTTGTGGGTTGGGAACTAATTCTAGAATTAAGTGGAAAGGTTAAAAAATACTTTCATCTTCAAATGGAATTCAGTCGTAGGGCATATAAAAATAAAACTTGCTGTTGCTTGCAGAGAAAATAAGTAGGAGACCTGAATAAACTTATCCAATTCGAGGCAAAATATTCCATACTTGCAAACCACTTCTTTTGTGGGTTGGGAACTAATTCTAGAATTAAGTGGAATCCATGAAATGGAATTCAGTCCATTAAAACTATACTTAGAGAGTTTTCAAAATATTTGAAACTTCTTCAACACACACCCCATTAAAACTATACTGCATTTTCAAAAGATGAAACTGCACTGATGTGCACACAAAATTTGAGATTCAAACTCGTTTTGCAAAAATTTATATGAAAATAACAAATTTCATTGGCATATGCACTGGAGGACAATCCTCTGGTGCAAAGGGTTTTCACAATTGCCCCGAAAATATGGTTTGCGTTGAATATTTTGCCTATAAGTTATATAGGTATTATATATCTCATCATATGAATCACATCTATTTCGTCTTTATTGTAGCTGTTAGGTTGTGGCCGCCATCATCAACGAAGCTAAGGTTTGTTCATGCAGATGCCTCCAAAGAAACGTCGAGTTCTTGAACACGATCTGTTACCGGACTACGACGAGATATAGTATTACGATAGAGTAAGTGGATACAAGGTCTCGAACTCCAGCGAGATGCCGAGTTCGCCACCGCCGCATCCCTCAGGCTCGGTCTATAGAAATGACCAAGTTCGAGTTCGCTTCATCCAGCTTGCCGTTACATGAAGGAGCCAGCCAGGCTGCCTTCCAAGTTGGGCCACGCAGGGCCAGTTTAGCTCACCCACTCCGGCCCAATCGTTCTTGGGTTCTTCCTTCTGGCCCGTATCGCCCTTCCTGGCCCAGCTCTGTCAACGCCTTCAGAATGGCCACCTTCTCCAGCTGCATCGGCTTCATCAGGGATATCAGCTTCTTCAGAGACAATACCGTCAGATGCAGTCACCTGGGCACCATTCATGACATTCCTCCCTCCTTGAGTGCCAGCTTGCCCCTAAGCTGGCGCACGTGGAAACTATTGGCGAAGTGGAGCTTCATCTTCCCAAGTAGATAGTTCTGGTGGCATGAAGGACCAACGCACCAACACTTGAGGCACGACAGTGTCATTCAGCTTGTGAAGGCGACGATCCAACACTGCGAAGGGTACCTGCAGCTCAATAGTATTGTCGTGTAATTCAGGGCTTACCACAGTGTTTGGTGGAACTGCCAGCTTTAGTTGGGAGACATGGAAAACAGGGTGGATCTAACAGCCAACTGGAAGTTGCAGCTCATAAGCAAAGGGGCCAATCTTGTAAACAATGATGAAAGGTCCAAAAAAATGAAATGCAAGCTTGTTAGAGGATCTTGTAGCCAGAGATGTTTGAACATAAGGTTGTGACTTGAGATAGATTACATCACCAAGTTGAAATGCTCTATCAGTGCGTTTCTTATCAGCTTGCACTTTCATTTTGTTTTGAGCTCTGACCAGATGTTGTCTGACTAGATGTTGCATCGGTTCCCTTTCCTCCAACCAAGTATTCAGATCATCAACTGGATAGGATTGAGCAAGATCTATGCCAAAGTGCCTTGGTTCATGTCCATAAAGAACAACAAATGGAGTCTTGCCCAATGAAGAATGAAAAGAGGTATTATACCAATACTCTGCTAATGCTAACCATTGAGATCGCTTGGAGGGGTAGGTATGAACAAAGCAACGAAGGTATGTATCAAGACACTGATTGACGTGTTCCGTTTGGCCATCGGTTTGTGGGTGGTAGGCACTGCTCATGCGCAGCTGAGTGCCCAAAAGTTTGAACAGTTTTTGCCATAGGTTGCTAGTAAAAACTTTGTCTCGATCTGAGACTATAGAAGTGGGTAGGCCATGTAATTTGAAGATGTTGTTCATGAAAAGTATAGCCACTTGGAATGCAGTGAATGGGTGGGATAAGGCAAGCAAGTGGGCATACTTGGAGAACTTATCAACTATGACAAGTATATAGTTAAAACCAGCAGACCTTGGTAGACCTTCTACAAAATCTAAAGTGATCATTTGATAGGCTCTTTCGGGTATGGGCAAAGGGGCTAGTAACCTAGGATAAGCCACAAATTTAGATTTGCCTTGTTGACAGCTACTACATTGGGATACAAAATCTTTCATAGTTTGTTTAAGTCTAGGCCAAGCAAAAAGTTGTTTGATCCTATGGTAAGTGACCTCATAACCAGAGTGACCACCAATGGCAATAGTATGCAAGGAGGACATAATTTTGTAATGTAGAGATGGTTTGGAACCAATCCATACCCTTCCCTTGTACCTGATTAATCCATCTTGAAGAGAGTAATGCCCCTAAGGTGATGAAACTGAAAGTTCAGCAAGTAACTTTGTAGCCTGTGGGTCTTGATGATAAGCTTCTTGAATATCCAGAAGCCAGAGTGGCTTAATGATAGGCATAGCAGCAATTTCATATGTGTCATCAGGATTGACTCATGAAAGAGCATCAGCCACCTTATTATCAGCCCCCTTTTATACATGATTTCATAAGACAGACCCATTAGCTTGGTGCGAGCTTTGTGTTGCCATGGAGTGGAGAGCTTTTGATCTTCCAAGTATGTCAAACTCTTCTGGTCTATAAGTATGATGAATGGTGAAGTTTGGAGATAATGTCGCTAATGATCAACTTCCATTATAATAGCTAGATACTCTTTCTCATAAGTAGAGAGACCTGAGCCTTTACCCATAAAGCCTTACTGACATATGCTATGGGATGACCTTGCTGTTGAAGCACAGCTCCAATTCCCTTAGATGAAGCATCTATTTCAATAATGAAAGGCAGCTCAAAGTTTGGCATGGCCAAGACTAGTGTGTACATGAGGGCTTGTTTCAATGCCTAAAAACTAGCTTCGATCAGTGGCTGAAGTCTAGATAAACACATGGCCCTTCTTCAACAACTCAGTAAGGGGTTTGCTCAATAAGACAAACTGGGGTACAAACTTCCTGTAGTAACCCACCATGCCAAGGAAGCTTCTCAAATCCTTAATGTTCTGTGGTGTAGGCTAGTCCTTAATAATTGCAATCTTGGAAGGGTCAGTAGACACTCCTTCTGCACTGACAGTATGCCCCAAATATGTGAGCTGCTGCTTAGCAAAGGCACATTTAGACATTTTAACATGAAACTGATGCTTTTCGAGTATTGTCAGAACTTCCTTAACATGCTGAAGGCGTTCTAGCCAAGATTTGTGTGACAATCCTGATTCTCCACGAAGGGAAAATCCAAAGATATGAATTATAATGTGATACTCCAGGAGACCAAGCCGTCACATTATCAAATAACAGTTGATACCACAGTTCATACATAGCGGAAGTACAAGTTTACAAGGCATTACAACTCTTGGTAACACACCTAAGTACAAGGTTAATCTAGCAGAAATGCACATAGGGCTTCATCATAGTAGACTTAGCGCATCAATGGGTGAAGGCTCCTCCTTCACGGACTATCATCAGGGTAGACGTTGAGCATCAGCGAGTGAAGGCTCCTCCTTCACGAGCAATAATCAGAGTAGGCGTAGAACATCAGCGGGCGTAGAGTTCATCTCCTCAACCAAACTTGAGCGTAGGAACGAGACCATCTAACCCTTCTAATCTCCAGGGTTGTCATTGTAGATGACATCCAAACCTGCCAAATATCTTTCAGTACGATTTGTACTAGCCACTAGCTCCCACCCTATGCTTTGCGTTGCTTTGTAGTAAGTGGAATGCAACGGTAGAGCAAAAGGCCTATATATGGCTGTAGTTTTCCTATGCATGTTCATCAATATTTTATAATAGTTCATCAAGTTTTAACCCATCTCATCCACACGTTCACCCATCCCATCACACACATCTCATGACACTCTCACTCTCTAGGTGTCAAGGGCAACTCCCTCTCGTACCTTGCCTTAATGGCTAACAGCCGAAATCCAACAAACCCAGGGGGGAGAAGAAGAAAGGACTCCTCTCTCTAGTCAAGTGAAGTAGTAAGATAGGAAAG